TGTAGATGTAGATGCAGATGCAGATGCAGATGCAGATGCAGATGCAGATGCAGATGCAGATTCAGATGCAGATGTAGATGTAGAGGTAGGTAGGTAGGTAGGTAGGTAGGTAGGTAGGTAGGTAGGTAGGTATTATGTATACATTTGCAACATGCACATAGGGTGTGCACATGTGTATGTACATATACCTACACTATGCAAGCACGCGCACACACACATATATATATATACGTACATACATACATACATACATACATACATACATACATACGCATACATACACGCATACATACGTGCGTACATAAATACTTACATATGTCCTTAAGTACCCAAGAGTAAACATGTAGACGGAAAGAAAACTGTTGGGCGTATCGTATTTTAGGGCATACCCCCTTGGTGTCCTGTGCAAAGCAGAAGCAAGCAACGGCTCCTTGGCAGATGCTCTCTGAGGTTTGTCGTGGCTGTGCTGTCACAACGACTGCTTGCGCAGATTATTCTGGCCGTGCGCCGGAGCTGCACATGATTTGCTGTTGACCTTTGCTGCAGCATAACACTGCCTTGCTGCTTCTGGAGCCAGGTTAGTAATGATCGCAATTCCCATGCCAAGCATTGTGGCTCGCGATGTGCTTTGGCTGAAGTTCGCCGCCGAGAGCTGCCTGAAGCGAGCATTTGCTCATTCAGGTCATTGTCGTCACCATCCTGTCGTCAGGGCCGTCTGTGCTTATGCACATCCTGGCCCCCTGCTGAAAGCTGTACCTCTGCACGTCTGCGCGCACTTTCTCCGTATGTCGCAGTCCCAGGCAGAGACCGGCTATGGGCCACACCTCGTGAAGCTCTGCGTCACAGGGAGCTTGATCAGCACGCTGCTGTCCGGAGCCAAGCACCAAAGACACTCCCCATTTCTAACTTCATATGCAAATACATCACTGCGAAGCCCGAACACCATGCTCCAAGGTGCCTCACTCTGCAAACAGCTCTGCTGGTGCACTTCCATCGAGGCCGGGGCAGTGTTCGCCGTTTTTTTACCTTACCTACATGCTGGGTTGTTGTATCATTGTATGATAGTAGTCTTAGTCACCGAGATCATCGACACCGCCACTGCCACCGCCAATGGCAGCACCACCACCACCACCACCACCACGACCACCACCACTGCCCGCCCTTCTGCACCATCACCGTCACCGCCACCGCCACCACACGACCACCACGACCACTCCAATCGACACCAACGCCAAAACGATGCGCCCCTCTGTCATCATGGTTGTTGTCATCATCTTCAGACTCGTCATCACCACCATCCTCATCATCNNCATCGGCATCAGCATCAGCATCATCATCATTATCATCATCATCATCATCATGATCATCGCTATCGGCATCAGCCCTTGTTTTATCACTGTCATGTTGCAGTGATCGTGACTTGTTTTTCTTGCTCTCCCTCTCCCGATCTGATTTTTGGCCAGGCTGACGATGGAAAGCTTTTCTGGCCAGCGAGACATTCCAAATGAGCTGGCCCGTCAGCATCTCGAGGTCAGGCCAGTATCGCGCCTGCCATTCTTGAGATTTGTTGAGTATCTGGTGTATTCAGTGCTTGGGCGCTTCCTCTTGCATGAGTAGAGTCCCTGTCCTTCCGCTGATTTCTGCGGTGATGGGAGCTGGCAAACGCCAGCATTGGCCGGTTCTTGACCCAGCCAGACGTTAACGAATCAAGCAGAGCTGTCGAAAAGAACACGTCATTCGCGTGTTCCTTTCAGCACAGAGGCTGAATAGCTCTGTGTAGATCTGCATAGTCGCCGCTGGTCGGCAACAAAAGAGTTTTATGCGCGGCAAAGCTTAGCCAAAAAGTGGCGGGGGAGGAGGAAGCACGGCATACTTACCGAGACCCTCGCAAGCCAAGACGAAGCTTGCAATCCAGCCTTCAGGTCTGGAATGCCGGCAGATCGAGACAAAGGACTTGTTGAGCCAATCCATTGTTCCTTTGTCGTGGTCCGACCTCGTCAGGCCTCTCTGCCTCAAAGACGGCTTCTTCGTTTCGACAGGCATCGAAAGCCGCGAGCGGGGAAATGAAGTTGGCAGATCATCACTCGCGGCTGCCTCGAGTCTTGCTCATGCCCGTGTCTTCTGCGGCTCTGCGGCACTTGAGGCTCATGGGCGACCCAAAGGGTTTGTCTCTGAGCTCATGCACACCTTGACAGGCAGACGCAGGATCAGGCTGTCGGCTTGTGCCGTCTGCAGTATCTGCATTTTCAGGTGCGCTTCCATGAGCTTCCTTGTGGTGCAGGATGCACCCAGACTCGGCTTGGGCCTGGCCGCCCTTGGGCGTCCTGGGTACATCAATTTGGATCGTGGGAGCGACTTGGAGGCTCCTGAGACACGCACGCCGGAGGCCCTGCGTGCTCGGGCCTGGGAGGTCTTGGATGCGGCCTGGTCCCTGGGCTTACGATATTTCGACTGTGCACGGAGCTATGGTCGGAGTGAGGAGTTTTTGTCAGGATGGTTGAAGCAAAAGCAGCTTCGCAAAGATGACCTGGCTGTCGGATCGAAGTGGGGCTACAGATATACAGCGGACTGGAGGGTAGACACAGGAGGAGAACCTCATGAGGTCAAGGACCATTCTTTATCCCATCTACTCCACCAGGAAAAGGAGACTGAGCAGTTGCTGGGTGAACACCTGCGGCTCTATCAAATCCATTCTGCGACCCTTGACAGTGGCGTGCTTGACAACGCGGATGTGTTGGAGAAGCTCCGGGAACTCCGGACAGAGAGGGGTTGGCGAGTCGGGCTAAGCCTGTCAGGCGTCGGACAGGCTGATACCTTGGACAAGGCCATCGCGACTAAAACCTTCGATTCGGTCCAGGCCACCTGGAACTTGCTAGAGCAATCCTGTGGGTCGGCCCTCCTGCGAGCCCATGAGGCTGGCATGGAGGTGATCATCAAGGAGGGCATGGCCAACGGCCGCATCCTCCAGAACGCAGCCTTGCTGCAGGCTGCAGAGAAGATGGGAGTTCCGCCTGATGCCCTCGCTCTGGGAGCCATCATGGCACAGCCCTTCAAGCCCATGGTGCTTTCGGGAGCAGTCTCCATAGCGCAGCTCGAGAGCAACTTTGGAGCTGTTGGAGTCTGTCAGAGGCTCCTCACAGATATGCCAACACTGGAGCTTCTCATGTCTGAGATGAAGGTGGAGCCATCCGCCTACTGGCAAGAACGATCTGCTCTCACATGGAACTAAGACTACTAAGAGGTAATAGGGCCAAGAGCGGGCCTCCCGCTCACCTTGCTCACCTCAGCCTCTCACACAGAGGACCTGGAAGCAACCGGAGCATTCCGCTGTTTTCTGTTTCTTCGGACTTTACAGACCATCAAGGGCCCAAGGGCAGGATCAAAAAGGCGCGCCGGGCAGGTTTGGACTCGAGACATACGCCATGCAGGTAGATGAGCTGGACGCTCCGATGGAGAGGGTTCAGTTACTTGGCCGAAGGTTTCGGCGAGCTATGAGGGGAAAGCGAGCTGCCGGTTCTTAGGACTTCGCCTGCGACAGGAGCACTTGCCTCAGAATCGGAGGGTGTAAAATTGGCAGCAAACTAATTCAGAAGCCTTTTCTGAAGGGCAACGGCTTGGATGCCAGTCAGAAGGTGATGCCCGGTACTCAGCAGCAAGAGCCAGGGAGGAACGGCCCCGGGGTCGTCCTGCCGCCATCTTTTCAGGGCTGAGAGGCGCTGAAGCTTCAAGCCTTCAAGCCCAACTGATTCCAGAGAACCCTGGGAAGCAAACATCCTCGCAGAGTGCAAGTCTCCACATCCGGGCTTCATAGCTGTGAACCTACAGCCTTCGGAATTTCTGTTGGGACCCCCTAAGAAGCTGAAAGGTCTGAGCCCCAAGCCCTAAACCTTAAAGGTCGAAGCCCTAAACCCTAAACCTTCAAGGTCGAAACCCTAAACCCTAAACGTTAAAGGTCGAAGCCCCCTGCACCCCAAACCTTCAAGGTCGAAGCCCTAAACCCTAAACTTTACAGGTCTAAACCCTAAACCCTAAACCTTAAAGGTCGAAACCCTAGACCCTAAACCTTAAAGGTCTAAGCCTTAAACCCTTAACCCTAGACCCTAAACCTTAAAGGTCTAAGCCTTAAACCCTTAACCTTAAAGGTCGAAACCCTAATCCCTAAACCTTAAAGGTCTAAGGCTTAAGCCCTAAACCTTCAAGGTCGGAACCCTAAACCCTAAAGGTCTAAGCCCTGAACCCCAAACCTTCAAGGTCGAAGCCCTAAACCCTAAACCTTACAGGTCTAAGCCCTAAACCCTAAACCTTGAAGGTCGAAACCCTAACCCTAAACCTTAAAGGTCGAAACCCTAGACCCTAAACCTTAAAGGTCTAAGCCCTGAAGCCCAAACCTTCAAGGTCGAAGCCCTAAACCCTAAACCCTTCAAGGTCGAAGCCCTAACCCTAAACCTTCAAGGTCGAAACCCTAACCCTAAACCTTACAGGTCGAAACCCTAGACCCTAAACCTTAAAGGTCTAAGCCTTAAGCCTTTAACCTTAAAGGTCGAAACCCTACACCCTAAACCTTAAAGGTTTAAGCCTTAAACTTAAACCCTAAACCCTGAAGGTCTAAGCCCTGAACCCCAAACCTTCAAGGTCGAAGCCCTAAACCCTAAACCCTGAAGGTCTAAGCCTTAAACCCTAAACCTTCAAGGTCGAAACCCTAAACCCTAAACCCTGAAGGTCTAAGCCCTAAACCCTAAACCTTCAAGGTCGAAACCCTAAACCCTAAACCCTGAAGGTCTAAGCCCTAAACCCTAAACCTTGAAGGTCTAAGCCCTAAGCCCTAAACCTTGAAGGTCTAAGCCCTAAACCCTAAACCTTGAAGGTCTAAGCCCTAAACCCTAAACCTTGAAGGTCTGAGCCCTAAACGTCGAAACCCTGCCCACCCTAAACCGGCTCCCAACGTCTCAGGTCCTGGGCCCGGCAGACAAGCGGAGCGAATGCCCCGAAGCCCCTGACCAACGGAGCTTTGGGCCGAGGCCGTCTGGAGCCTACACTGCACGGTTTAGGGTTAGGGTTTAGGGTGTAGGGTTTAGGGTTTAGGGTTTCGGGCTTTCGAAACGCGACGATCGTCTAGCAGCGTAGGAGGCAGTAAAGATATGCTCGATCAGAATAGAATAGAGTACGATAAATATAGTCTGGCATGACATGGCATCACATAAACCGACATAAGATAACATAAAGTAGCAAAACAATGAATACAGCATAGTATAACATAAGCTACCATCATATAACACAGTATAACCTAGCAAAACAAAAACTAGTATATTTTTACACAATGTAAGACAACGAAACAGGTATAACACACTGCAGCATAATGTAACATATGCTGCACACAACAAACCTACCCATAAGCATATACAGCCTAGTACAGCATGAAATAAGATAGTCTAACACAATGAACCATGGCACAACATAGTTTAACACAAGATATCATCAATACTACATAGTAGAACACAATATAGCAAAGCATAACATAATGTAGCACGATACAACAAAATGCAACATAACAGAACAGAACAACACGTAACATACAGTAATGTAGTATGATCGAATGTAATCCAGCACAACTTATGGCGATATATAGAGAATGTGATATAATGTATACCATGTAATACAGTGTGATACAGTGTAATACAATAGAATGCCGGAATAGCAGCATATACTATGTAATATTATAGCGTAAGACAGTGCAGCCCCCAACGACATGATTGCATTTTCCGTAGACACATGAAGGACAGTAGTTACGCGCAAGTGTCAGCTACGGGCACACATCTGTTGCGGCATGCGTAGCTGGTATGATGTCCTTCATTGATCGACCGGCCTGAGATGGTTACATAAATGCATAGAGTCTGATAGACAGATGCAGAGACAGAGTTGGTTTTCGCATGCCTAAAGAAGCACATGAACACTTGACTACCCACGTGAAAGCGAGATTGGGGTTCACTGAAAACTTAAGGTCTTCCGCCGTCCCGCAGCTACACCACGCCTGCCCTGGACAGCAGGGGACCCTTGAGCAGGCCCCCTTTTGGTTCTCTCAAATCAGAGCGAGCATCCGAGGTAACGTGGACTACGTCACAGCAGATCCATTGCCAAGGCTGCCACCGGGAAAGGTGAAGAAGGCCACTGCTCTGTGCTCTTGGAGGCCTCTCGGTTGTTCCCGCTTCTTAAGAGGCTGCCCCAACGCCAAGCTGGATGTCTGCGATCTTCTGAGGGGTCAGACGTGCCAGCGTGACACAGCCTGGACATCTCAGAGAGCATACCAGCACCGAGTCAAAGTCACATCACTGCGTCTTGATGTGTTGCTCTGCAAAGCTTGAGAAGACAGGAATCGGCTGGCTCGGGAAACCCGTGATCAGCCAACACTGTTAATGTTCGCTGCTTCCTTGAAGGAGACTAGCAGCATTCCTTCGTGCCTCGAAGACGCGA